AAGAGCTCTATCCCAGGAGACAGTGCTCGAGTGCAGGGACCTGGACGAGATCACCACAGAAGTGGAGCTAAGAAGTGCGTTCAGAGTGCACTGCGATCTGGGAGATGTCCCGATGTCAATCCGCATGAGGAAGGCGTACGGCGGCATGCAAACGGCGGTTATACGGCTTTCGACAGTTGCAGCGAATAAGCTGTTGGAGACGGGCAAGGTCAAGGTTGGCTGGTCATTGTGCTCGCTGAAAGCCACTCCTCGGGTTACCAAGCAACTGGAGCGATGCTTCAAGTGCATGGGATTCGGTCACCAGGCGAGGAACTGCAATGGCCCTGACAGATCTGATCTGTGCAGGAAATGCGGAGAGAAAGGCCATATTGCAAGAGGCTGCACGAAGCATCCGAGGTGTATGCTCTGCAAAAAAGAGGACGGTAACGATCATACGACGGGAGGCTTCAAATGCCTAGCATACAAAAAGGCGATGGCAGGCCAACAGTAATGGAGGTAACCCAAATAAACCTCAATCATTGCGACATTGCTCAGCAACTGTTGTGGCAGTCGACAACAGAAACAAAGTACGACGTTGCAATCATTGCGGAACCGTAACGAGTCCCTCCCGATAACGGTAACTGGGTAGCGGATAGAGCTGGGATGGCTGCTATACAAGTTATGGGCAGATACCCCATTCAAGAAGTGGTTGCGAGCTCATACGAAGGCTTCGTGATCGCCAAAATCAACGGAAAGCTCAGAAACTTGCCAAGCAATTCGAGAGTTCCTATAATTTCAGTTTGGGTCTTACTAGTCCTATTGAGAATCAGGTTGCTCGGGATTAACTGAATAGTTTCTCCCGGGAAAATATTTTTGATGATTCCTGGGGGACTGATTTGGACGAAGTAAGATCTATAATTAAAAAGTTTCATAATATGAAAACTCCAGGTGATGATGGAATTTTCTATATCCTCATTAAAAAACTCCCAAAGAGTACCTTGTCTTTTTTGGTAAAATTATTTAACATATGTTTCTATTTGGCATACTTTCCTGATAAATGGAAAAAGGCAAAAGTTGTTCCAATTTTGAAGCCGGACAAAGCTACCGTCCAATAAGTTTGCTTTCTTCAATAAGTAAACTTTTTGAAAAGATAATTTTAAATGGAATGATGCTTCACATCAATACGAACTCATTTTTTGCAGATGAGTAGTTTGGATTTCGCCATGGGCATTCAACTACTCATCAACTCTTAAAAGTTACCAATTTAATTCGTTCAAACAAATCTGAAAGCCACTCAACTGGAGTTGTTCTTCTAGACATAGAAAAAGCATTCCAAAGTGCTTGGCATGAAGGTTTGATTGCTAAATTAAAAAAGTTTAATTTTCCACTTTATTTTTTTTTATCCCCATAGGATTGCAATGATTGGGGTTGATAAGAAAAATTTTCAAGTGACTACGATGCCGGACGGATTAGTCTATGGTGACCAATTAAACACCGGATTCACGATCTTGATTAATCATAATCTTCTTGAAAATCTTTATGGCTCGGTAATCGCTGGTCTGTCTTTGTCTATGTCTTCTTCTCATTCGTACGTCAGTTTTAATGTCTGGATGTTTTCTTGTCGAATGTCATGATGTGTTTGTGTATCTGTGCGCGCGTGTGTGTGTGTGTGTGTGTGTGTGTGTTTGTGTGTTTGCACCAGATGATTGTATTTCTTCCTCATTCCTACGGAAAACAAATCAAGAAAAAAAAAAGTTTATTTCACCCAAATGGGTACTAAAGTGTGCGAAGCGAAAAGTAAGTAAAGTCAATTAATCATGTTTTATTGTTTTTGACATAATCCACATCCAGAGGGCAAGTCACTTTCAAATGTATGGGAATGGTAGGAAACCATTTGGAAATACATGAAAATTTTCAGCTGGAGATCCAGAGCCAAAGTACGGGATGCTCACTATGCCCCACCTGTTCACTATGTCCCATCCTTCCCCTACCTATAGAAATAAATCCAATTCAATTAAGGGTTGATTAAAAAACAAATGATTTCCAATACGACTAAATCCAGCATTCCTACTAAAATATCAAATGCTGTGCTTAATCATTTATTATTAGTACAGAGCAATAAACAATGTACGGTGATGATTAATCTGTTAAGGGAACATACATAAATGACGTAGCATTCGAGGGGGGAACCCTTTTCACGTGAACCGAAGAACGCCCACGAAAACCAATAGCACTATCGTGAAGGGCAGAATTTATCCTACCCGATGGCGTTGTTGGTTTGCGTGGGTGTACGGTTCGCGCGAGAGAGGCTTCAACCATTTCAATTTGCCAACATTATTTTTCATAAAGCAAATCAATGCAAGTCATACCGAATTCATAAATGGTTCTTATGGAATTCTTACGTTTTTTTGTCTCACCGGCAAAATTTTGAAAATTGTTTCATCAAAACGGGGTTTAGAGGCCTATAAATTCAAGAGCAAATTCTCATTACGTCGAAAGTAACAAAGGTAAACAAAGTCGAGCTATCAGTGTCAATCGATGCTCCGATTTTATAACATTCCCCAGAAAACCATTCCCAAGAAAACCATTCCCTATAATCTCATTCCCCAAAATGCACCATTCCCCAGAATGAACCATTCCCCAGAAAAGTATACCATGTATTAGATTGACTATTTTTGTTTGTTATAGCCACTCCTGGAATCTTCTTTCGCGTATATAAAAAGAAGAGAAAAACTTCTTAATGGGTCAAGGGGTTTTAGGAGACCTTAATGGATCAAGGGGTTTTCCCTTCTTTGAAAATTTAAGAAAAGGAAATCATTAATTCTTTGGATATACGATAAAGAATGGAATATTTCCTACTTTTAATTTGTAAATAATATGAAAAAGAAGGGAATATTCTCTTGTTTGAAAACATAACAAAAAGAGCTTGAGCTTGATTGACCGCCCACGGTTGCTACTCTGTTATTGCCAGATCAGCTGTAATTACACAGAGAACCAATAGACGATGCTTGGGACTAGCAATCATCCTCAATGTGTAAAAACTGGTGATCTTGAATTAGGCAATACCAGCGCCGGCCGCGCCCGAACACAGGTCAAGAAAGGAATGGGAAGGATTGTGTTGACATGACACTCGCTTTGATGGAAGCCGAGAACACCTCTGCACTTCCACGAGGAATCACTGGGATGTTGGATAAGAGGGTTGGGTTTGCAGCAGGGTTCGTTTTGGTAAACGATAAGCTGAATTAATGTCCTAACGATCATATAACGCGAAGGAGCTTGGGACTAAACCCACGGTCTTCTGCTCAGTAAGCAAAAACGTTTGCCACTAGGCAGACGAGCACCTTTTTAATCACCGAGTTGCTGTTATTACCATGTAGTCATATTAACAAATAAAACGATTGACGAATCTTGATTGTGGATGGGCCTGAGATTAGACTCATGATGTTCTGCTCAGTAAGCAAAAACGGTTGCTCTAAGGCCACCGAGCCCCTCATATCACATAATACCGTTGCTCAAATTTTTGTATCCATTCAAACCCGGAACCAACGACAACAACGAGTTTCGCAAAATACACGATATACAAGCGATTTTACTATAAATCTCTTTGATATGTAAGGACCTGGGACCGCGTTTTTCTGCTCAGTAAGCAGGCTACTGTAACCGACGATCTTTCAAATCCGAAAACTAAAAACTACGAAAAAGTACTTAGGCCTTCATTAAGTTCCACATTCACGCGACGTACAATGTTTCAATTTGCTCTTTACGTATTGTTCAGGCTAGGCCCTTTTCAAAATTTACGCGAGAAATACGCACAATCGTCACCTACCTCGCAAAACTGGTTCCAAACGACAACAAAGGCATAAGCAACGATGGATTGTTGAACTTTGCTGGCTCCGGTGGTGTAGTGCACAGCAAAAAAAATTTAATATCGATCAACGTAATTCAAGCTGATGTATGGAATAATGATGTAGGGTAGATGTACCAGTTATGGCTATACGCTCCTATTATGATGTGTTCCAATTATGGCATATAGGATTTCCATAGGCCATGATTGGAACACACCACAACAGGAACGCACAGCCATAACTGGTACATCTACCCTAATTGTAATTTTGTAATTTATCCGCACACACCCTGGTCGACCACTGTAAACCAATCTGCCGTTCAGCGTTTTCGGTTTTTGTTTCTGGATCTTTAGTTGCCTCTGTGATATACTTACTTGCGGCATACTATTTTGGGAGTGTATATGAGCGTGTACCATGTACGGTAGCTCATCTCTCATCGTGATGGTGGGACATAGCAGACAAATTAGAGAGAAAACAAGGAGGTATTAGTATTAGTTATATGTAAACAAACAAAACAAAAGTTAGATAATGCGGCACTGTAACTACTACTATTTTAGAGGTATGATTCGTCATGTTTAACTCAATGTTTCAATTGAGGCAAACTATCTATCTTACAATTACAAAAGCAAACCTAAACTTACAATTATATGCAAATGCAAAATGAAACTTGACAAATCATCGTCAATTCCCTTATTCCAGGGCAGGGCCTGACGATTTGAATCTAATTTTGATCAGTGAACGGGCACCATATGGTACATTTTCTCACCATGAACCTATCATTTCCAGCCTATCTGAACTATTTAATAAATGGAAGCCATAACATGGGTTACGCTCCCCCTAAGCGGGCCCTCCGCATCCTGTCTCTGTCTTATCTCAAATACAAAATGCCAATGGTATGAATGTATCTATATATAACTTGGAAATGACGTACAATCAAATAAACCCGTAACCCACTCACTTGGTCAGGCTTCAGAATCGTCCAGTGGGCAGTGCACTCTACACTCCAAGTTCCCTTTTTTTCAAATTTACCGCAAATTTGATATTTTACCCATTGAGTGTTGATTAGTCACAATGAAACATTGTGACAGAAGTTGAGGTTACTAGTGTATTAAATAATCTAGGTCCTATTTAGGATTATATCTGAAAAATCCAAATCTGGCCAACGCCCACCCTAAACCTAAACCTGTTCTAATCCACCTGAAATGACTAACGAATGGAAGACTTTGACTACCCAGCCATGCAATAGTCTCATTCCGTGCCTTATGGCAACTTGATGATTCTATTGCGCTCATCTTCTGACACCACCCAGGGGAGACTTGGTCCTGTACCCAATGCTTAACTTATCTCCATTCCACTCAACTACTCGCAATTTCGTGTGATATAGTGGGCGGAATATTATTATATGAGACAATTTGTTCATAGAAAAATATCAAAAGAATTGGTTTTCGGAAGATTTGCTGGTGATTGAATCAAAACGCGTGTGTGCAGAACAAAACTTTTATTTCCACTAAATTTCTTCTCTTCCTTTTCCCCTCTCGGTCCTACGCGGGATTACCGGGGGGTCACCTGAAGTATTTCACGCGTAGCATCATACTCCCCCCGTTGAGTCCATCGGATCAACAGTTGGGAGAAAACAGATCTTCGATATAGCTCGTCGGTATTCTCCAGTGTTTGTGCGGATCGTCACCACCCGCACTATTTCATCCTGTCCAGGGTGCGTTGTCACTATGCGTCCTAGACGCCACTGATGTGGGGGAGCATTGTCGTCCTTCAATACTACCAAAGCGCCAATCTCGATCTTGGTAACTTCGTTATGCCACTTCGGCCTGGACTGTAGATGATGCAAATATTCAGCCGACCAGCGCTTCCAGAAATGCTCCTTCATCAACTGGATGTGTTGCCAACGATTTAGTCGGCCAACTTTCACTTCGGAGTATGACGGTTCAGGAATACTCAAGGCCGATCTTCCAATAAGGAAGTGCGATGGAGTCAGTACTTCGATGTCATTTGGATCGTCTGAAACTGGAATTAGAGGTCTGCTGTTCAAGATGGCTTCACATTGGGCTAAGAAAGTCGTCATCTCTTCAAATGTTAGCCGGGTTTCACCGATGACACGCTTCAAATAGTGCTTAGCTGATTTTACCCCAGCCTCCCACATACCACCAAAGTGGGGGCTGCGCGGAGGGATAAAGTGCCATTGAATTCCCTTCGAAGTACAGAAATCGTTGAGTTTTCGTTGATGGGCTTGATCGTCAAACAAGATGCGCAACTCTGCCAGCTCATGATTTGCACCGACGAAAGTCGTCCCATTGTCGGAATACATGTTGGTTACCATACCACGTCTGCTAATGAAGCGCTGCAGCGAAGCGATGAAATTCTCGGCCGTTAAGTTGGATACCACTTCAATATGAATTGCCTTGGTGGCCAAACAAATAAACACAACAATATAGGCCTTGTATTCAGTTTTCTTTCTACCCGGACCAACTTCCTTGAGATACACTGGACCAGCATAGTCGACTCCAGTATTCGAAAACACAGGCGACGGTGTAATTCGATAGTTCGGTAGGTTGCCCATGAATTGATTCACTGGCTTTGGGTTATGGCGAAAGCAGACATAGCACTTGGAGACGATCCTCTTTATCAGCAGCTTTGCGTTTATAGGCCAGTATCGTTCACGCACGATAGACAGCAAGCCTCGCTGCCCGACATGAAAATGTTCCTCGTGTAACTGACGGACAATGATTTGAGTCACATGGTGTTTCTCCGGTAGCAAGATTTGATGTCTTCCATCATAAGGTATTGACGAGTACTTGAGACGACCGCCAACCCTAATGAGTCCGTCGGTGTCAATGAATGGAGCAAGACCTTGGTACTGCTTCAACTTCTTCTTTTTATCCTTCAGTGCGTTGAAAAGTTCCTGAAATTCTTCCTTCTGCACCAGAAGGACGATTACATGTGTTGCCTCAGCGATTTCTTGTGCTTGTAAGTCAGACGTATTACAAACCTTCGTGCGTATTTTCTTGATGAACCGCAATGCATACGCCCACGCTCTTTGCAGCCGTCGAAAATTGCTCACCTTATTCAAATCGATGTGTGTTTTCTGATGTACAGCAGTTACAACAGTCGTTGACTTGAGTTCTGGAAGTTCGTTGTCGTCCAAACAAATCCTGCCTTCATCGTGTACTGGATTCTGCAGCCACAATGAAGGTGCACCTTTAAACCAATGCTCCATCGTGAGTAGTTCTGCTGGTAGTACCCCACGCGAGATTATGTCCGCAGGGTTGTCTTGAGATCTCACATAGCACCATTCGTAATCGTGGGTCAGTTCATGTACCGTTGCGACACGATTTGCAACAAACTGGTTCAAAGCAAGCGGTGATTTTTTCATCCAGCTCAAACATACTTGCGAATCCGTGTGAAGTATCACATTCGAAAAAGAAACTTTCATTGCAGCTACAGTTTTTTCCACCAGACGCGCTAGAAGCAAAGTTCCACACAGTTCGAGACGAGGAATAGTCGTTGGTTTTAAAGGAGCCACTCTCGACTTGCTACAAACCAGCTCAACATTTACCGTGCTATCGGGGGAGATGCACCTCGTGTACAAGACTGCCCCGTAAGCACGCTTGGAAGCATCCGAAAATCCGTGAAGTTCTATTGCTACTGCGTCGCTTGAGATTACACACCGCTTCTTTTGTAGTTTGTTGACAGATGGCAGCTGCTCCCGGAAAATTGTCCACAACTGGTACTGGTCGTCCGGCAATTCTTCGTCCCATCCTAGCTTGATTCGCCACAAATCTTGCATCAGCAATTTTGCTGTCGTAGTCACAGGTCCAATGTAACCACATGGATCAAAGAGAAGTCCAATGGCAGAAAGTACGCTGCGTTTGGTTGGTATGGGATTCGGCAGTCTACCATCAAGTGGGTTCACGATGAAGGTAAAGTAGTCGTCGTTGGGATTCCAAATCAAGCCGAGAGTTTTGATCACACTGTTAATGTCAGCATCTTCAACGTTTAGCAGTGTTTCTTGGAGTTCAACCGGAATACTGTTTCGAACAACTTCACTATTGGAGCAGAACTTGTGAACTCCAAATCCTCCTCGCCTCAGTAGTTCCGTAAGTTGCTTGCAGATTTCAATCACCTCTTGCTCGGTATTTGCCCCAGTAAGAAAGTCGTCGATATAGCTGTTATCTTCAATGACTCTGGCTGCGAGGGGCAGCTCAGATGCTTCATCCTTTGCCAATTGCATCAATGTGCGCGTTGCCAGGTATGGTGCACTGGAACAACCGTACGTTACAGTTGTCAACTCGAATGTTCCGACTTCGTTATTTGAATTCAGCCATAGAGTGCGTTGATACTTCCTATCATCTTTGTGGACATACACCTGACGATACATCTTCGGAACATCTGCTGTTATTGCCACAGGAAAGCAGCAAAATCGGAGGAGAATTGTGATAAGGTCGTTTTGCACTGTTGGTCCTGTCTCTAAAGCATCGTTCAGCGAGAGACCTGACGTGGTCTTCGCCGAAGCGTCAAACACTACACGGATTTTTGTCGTCGAGCTTGACTCCTTGTAAACGGCGTGATGAGGTAAGAAGTAGCAATCATTGGGATTGTCATGGACCTCAATCATATGACCGAGGGCCAAGTATTCTGTCATGAATTCAGTGTATCGATTTTTCTTGTTTTCGTTGACGAACGATCGTAGTAGACGATTGAAACGTGTCCGTGCGGTTTCCAAGGAATTGCCAAGTTGAACCTTGTTTTCGTTGAATGGCAGTCTGACAGTGTATCGACCTGTTTCCTCACGGGAAAATGTTCGCTCGTAATGTTTCTCTACGGCTTGTTCTGCTGGTGTGTATGGTAAGGCTTCCTGGCATGTTTCTAACTCCCAGAACTTCACGAGGGTGCGATTGAGTTGTTCGTCGGTGAGGTTTAATTGGCAAACTCTACGATTCGGACCGCCTTGATCCACCTTGACGGGACCGCTGACAATCCATCCAAGATGTGTTTCAACCAACATGGGTGTTCCGCCTGCAAGCTTCATACGGCCGCCCTTCAGTAATTCGAAAAATAGTTCAGCGCCGATGATCATTTGGATTTCGTCGGGAACGTGAAACGATGGATCCGCCAAAGCTAGGCTTGCGGGAATTGTCCACGAACGTATGTCGACCTTCATGAGTGGCAGATTGGTGGTGATCGTTGGTACCACCAAAAAGTCTAGAAAGGCGTTGAACGAATTAACGCGAGAGCTGATCTTTGCACAAAGCTTATACTTAACTTGCGTTTCAGCGTTATTGACCCCGCTGATTGGGATGTTGACGTTTTCCATGACAATGTTCAATTTTCTCGCAAGAGCTTCACAGATTAAGTTCGAATCAGATCCTGAGTCCAACAAGGCACGGCATACCACAGTTTTATTTCCGGAATCACACACAAGCACTTCTGCGGTCGAAAGGAGCACATGTTGTTTCAGCATGAACGAATTTGCACAGTTGATAGATCCATGTGTTTGTACAGCAATCTCACGATGATCTTCTGCAACAGCGGGAACTGACGCAGTTGATTGGCTTGCCAGTGTCTTGTAAGCTGTGGGCTTATCTTCATGCAGGAGAGTATGATGTTTTCGCTTGCATGTTTTACACGTCCTTTCAGAATTGCACTCACCCGTACGATGGCCGCGTCGTAGGCAATTGAAGCAAAGACCGATTTGCTTCACTTTGATGAACCGTTCATTGACAGTGAGTCCTCGGAAAATGTCACACTTGTAGATCAGGTGATCACCACTGCAGCAGAAACATGCATCTTTGGCCTGGCTGGATGTTTGTATGAAATTCCTCCCTTGAATAGTTTTCTGTTCCGGTTTACTTTTCAGCTTCGTTGGAGCGGGAGGTCGTGGTTCATTGTAGCCTTTCATTTTCTGCAGAATGCGACCTCGCTCGCGTAAGAAATCAACCATATCAGCATACGTAGGCAGCTCATCCACTGGGAGCTGGGATTCCCACAGTTTCCTTGTTTCTTTATCCAACTGTTTGGAAATTACATTGACCAGTATCATTTCCGAAAGTCCTCCCACAGGTAGCTCTCGATTCTTCAAAGCGTCAATATTTTTGGTACAGGTATCGAGTAGGTTCCGCAATTCATTGCCGTTCTCACTCGTCATCTTGGGGAGGTTGAGTAGAGCATCTATGTGAGTGTCAATTATGAGTCGCTCGTCTTCTAGCATCTTCCATGCCGAATCGTAATCGTTGTTGTTGATTACGTCTTGGTCAATCTTACCAGCAGCGTTTCCAACAAGGCAATTCTTCAAGTGGTAAAGTTTAATCGCCGGAGACTCATCAGGGTACCTGTTCATTATAGTATTGAACATACACTTAAAAGAGTACCAATTCTCAAGACTGCCGTCGAATGTTGGCAGCGGTACCTGCAGATGAGGTGTCGAATTCTTCACTACCACTGGTTGCTGCGGCACGAAAGCAGGCGCCAACGCATTAATTTTTCTTCGCTGTTTGTCTTCTTCTTCTACATTCCACTTTTCGATTTCCGTTTGAACTTGCACAAACAGCTCGTTGTACAGTTCCTCGTTTCGGAAGTAGTCTCTTCTAAACTCGTCACGTTGATCCCTCGAAACGAGTTCACAAATCTCCAGATATGACTTCTGCAGATCGTCGTTGCACCGGCGGAGAGTCTCGAGTTGCAATTTGAGCCAGTGAATACTGATGTTTTCCTGATCCAACCGCTCTTGAATCCGGATCATCTTTTCCTTCGCCAAATCACGCTGGTCAATTAACCTATCCAGGTTCTTCGCCATATCTTTCTGCTTCTGTTCCTGTTTCTGCTGTTGCACTGATACGTAACTTGTTGATTGCACACCGAGCAAAGCGTCGAGCAGATTTCTCGGTGTTATGTTTCTTGCCGGATGTGGAGTTTCCTCACTCATGAGCACAACTCTTCACTACACTATTTCACAAATACTTCCGAACGTTCGAGGAAGTTCTTTGCTATTCTTCTTTCACTCGGATTTCGTATTTCAAACACGATCGATCATGTTTCGCGCGCACACACACTACTGCACAACGTGTCGTTTGGCAACTTTCTATTTTTTCCAACCGGTGGAAATCACAAATTTTCGCCAGAATATCTCCATAAATCAACAAAAACCATCACAAAATGTTCATCCGGTTCGAATAGACCAAAATGTTCATAGAAAAATATCAAAAGAATTGGTTTTCGGAAGATTTGCTGGTGATTGAATCAAAACGCGTGTGTGCAGAACAAAACTTTTATTTCCACTAAATTTCTTCTCTTCCTTTTACCCTCTCGGTCCTACGCGGGATTACCGGGGGGTCACCTGAAGTATTTCACGCGTAGCATCACAATTCAATGCAGACGTCTTTCCAAATTTGGCAGATCGACAGGTAATCGGTGAGTTAGCACGATAGTTGCTATTCAACAACTCGACAACGTCCCATCGTCAACGCCTGCTATGAGAATTTCCCATAGCAGACGCCAAAGAAATGACGTCATCGAGCTATCGATCAACTACCCTGGTTATCGCCTGGTACCTTATAGCACGATGCTAGAAGGCGAACCGGAAGAATCGATGAGCTACCTCCCCCTCTTGTTTGAAAACATAACAAAAAGATATAATTAACTCTTTGGATATACGATAAAGAAGGGAATATCCCCTTCTTTGAATATGTAAAAGAGAACATAATAAATTCGTTAAATATATGATAAAGAAGGGAATATTCCCTTCTTTGAAAACATAACAATAGAAAATAATTAATTCTTTGGATATACGATAAAGAATGGAATATTCCCTTCCTTGAAAATTTGAGAAAAGGAAATAATTAATTCTTTGGATATGCGACGAAGAAGGGAATATTCCCTTCTTTGAAAATTTGAGAAAAGGAAATAATTAATTCTTTAAATACCTATATGATAAAGAAGGGAATATTTCCTTCTTTGAAAATATAACAAAAGGAAATAATTAATTCTTTGGATAAACGATAAAGAAGGGAATATTCCCTTTTTTAATATATAAGGAAAATATATAATCAATAGCTTTTCGCAAGGGATTCGGGGTAATGACTATTTGCGATAATAACGTGTGGAATTATGTTATAAGTTTGTGATCGGTAGTTCTGTAATATAAAACTGAAATATAATATCAAATGACAAAAAAAAGTGATAAATTCTAGGATAAATTACTAATTTCATGATCTGATCTGATCTGGGGAATGGTACATTCTGGGGAATGGTGCATTCTGGGGAATGTTATACAAACTTAGAAATTATCGCCGATTTCGGTAAATTTTACCGAAATCTGAACAGCTGAACTTTTCGGTAAAATTTATGCAATTCAATTCAATTGCTTTTCAGCTACTTTGAAACTAAATCTCCACTAAAATGACAAGATTTGATCATTTAAACAAGGTTGTTCATGTTTTGATATTATTTTCAAATTCAATAGCCTTTAAAATGAAGGTCAAAGTTTTACCGAACGTTCAGCTGTTCTGATTTCGGTAAAATTTACCGAACACGGAAACAAAATCTTAGTGTGTAGATGCTCCTGCTATTACACTATATACTGTCCGAATATAGGATCACATCCCATTTTTTAAATTTATTTACCAGTCAAATCGCTTTTTGACGTAATCACCTTCCGATCAAAATAGTTTTCGATGTTACTTAAGTCACCCTATAACTATGAAGATGCCGTTTGTCTTAAAGTAACAGCGCAGAGAAACCCGTGAAAAGTGTACGTTCGTCGTTTCGCTTTCTCATTATTAAAGTGAATAAATCGAACTGTTTGTTGCTAAGATGATTTCGGTAGTCCTAAAATGATGAATGGGCTGCACGTAAGGAGACGTAATTGATAATTCTCCCGAATATCCTGGTAAATACACCTTGACTTAAGTAACAATAGGGGTCACCAAACGACGTATAATAACTTTTGACTCAAAAACCAGTATTTTTTAGCATGAAAGCTAGCGATTTGCATTTGTATTATTAAAAGCCTGCTAAATATGTTAAACATTGCTATTACTATGAGATTATATGTGTTTAATTGGAAATAGGAATAACTTTTCGGTCATCAAAACAGAACTTTATTTTTTCTCGGATTGATGCGAATGTTACTTATGACATAATGAAAATTTGCTCTTGAATTATGCATTTTCGAGGGAAAGTGGGACTACCCATAAAATGAGTAAATTTTTTATCCAATTTTGGGTAACCGCTACTTTTTTTTATCCCCATAGGATTGCAATGATCGGGGTTGATGAGAAATTTTTTCAAGTGACTACGATGCCGGACGGATTAGTCTATGGTGACCAATTAAACACCGGATTCACGATCTTGATTAATCATAATCTTCTTGAATAACTTTATGGTTCGGTAATCGCTGGTCTGTCTTTTTCTATGTCTCCTTCTCATTCGTACGTCATTTTTAATGTCTGGATGGTTTTCTTGTCTAATGACATGATGTGTTTGTGTATCTGTGTTTGTGTGTGTGTTTGTGCGTTTGCACCAAATGGTTATATTTCTTCCTCATCTCCTAGTTTTAACTGCGTTCAAGAATAATTAACTAAGAAAAAAACGTTGCAAAAGTCCATACCATAACATATCTAACTTACTATCAACATTTGTTAACTAATACCTAAATGTAATTTTTAATTTTATGACGATCAGTTGCTCAAAATAGGAGCCTGTAATTCCGTACCAGAATCCGCCTCCAATTTAATGTCTTTTGTGGATTCGTAGAAGCAAAGTTGTGCTAAAAGCTAAATAGTTACCTAAAAATACTACTTAAATCGTTCACAACCAGAGCCGGACCACTGATGAAAACCAAAACTACACCCCTGAAAAACGTATCGATATTTTCGAAGGCGAATACTCCGCAACCTATTCTTGCTAGTGATTCTGTCCAATTGTTAGGTATCCAAATTATAGACATTCATAAATTTATTATTGAATATATGGATGAATTATCTATTATTGAATAACTATTATTTACGGTAATTACATGAAAGAAATAAAGTATAAACTACAAACAAAACGTGATTACTAAAATCTCAAAAGATATTCTCACAAATGTATTTCGCGCAACCAGGAATCTGAAAACCATTAGACGCTATAATGATACTCTGCACATGTTAGACACAAGAAGAGGCCAAAAGGCAAGCGCCTGACACACAAAAACCGCCCAATCCACTTGCAGTAACAATTAACGATTCTACGAATCGCGAGCGCTCACGAATCATAAAACCGCTGACTGCGACATTCTGAAAGCGAAATTGACAGGCTCCATGCGTTTAACACCCGCCCTCCAATCTCCTCCCGTATCCAACAACACAAATCCTCATTACAACATCTAACGAATTCAAAACTCCGAAAATCACTCATCTATAGCAAGTGAGTGGAAGCAACCCTGCATGCAATCATTCTTCATGATACACTTTTTCTGCCTATCTTTCTATTAGGGCTGTGGACATGCGCTAGCTTCGAAACTTCTAACCAAACTGGTAAATCTATCAGATCACAAAAAAAAACTTTTAAAGGTAATTACAAGTAAAATAAATATTGATTATTTTACGCAAAAACGAGCAAGTAATATTAAATCTCTTGTATCGTAAGCTAATGTAAATTGACTGTAACAAAAATAATATGAATATTAATAAAATTATATGGAAAATTTACTAGAAGATCATTACTTTATTGGTGAGAAGTTTCTAATAAGCCCACCCAGTTCCTCTGTATACAGAACAAATCTGAAACTATGATCAAAATTGCTCAGTCTGCATGAAGCAGCCGATTTCATCAAGGAAGTTCTATTAACAACCAAGAATTAATCGTTTGAGGCATATTTGTTTATTTGTTATGGTTGCATCAACAGACTAGAAATAGTCCCAATGATGTGTTGTAAAAAAAAGTACAGATTATACAGACGACAAACATATACTACAGTTACAAACGAAAATAACTAGGAAAGCATTGTCTAGTTACTAAAAATGTATAAGTCTTAAATTTTACACTTAGCTGTTGGGCATCAAGCGCCTTCGGTCAGCAAAAAAGGCAGAGAATCTTCGGCAAAGCATATTCCGTGTCAAGTGGAAATCGAACATCGACGCTACTCGGTTGAACACTAGCTGCAAGCCGTAAATAGCGCTCCCTATGCTATAATTAGTTCGAAGAAGTGGAAGTCTCAGCATAAGACTGTTGCGTAGTGATCGAGGTTGAACATTAATGTTCACTTGTTGCAGAATTGCTTCGCAGTCGATTCTTCCTTGCAGAGTATCGGCGACGGTTAAGGCTCTGAAAACATCTCTTCGGATACGTAAGGGCTCGATATTGATCAATTGGCAGCGATTCTCGTAGCTTGGAAGACGAAGTGGGTATCTCCAAGGCAGCTTACGGAGCGCGAAGCGAAGAAAACGTCGTTGAACAGATTCAATTCGCTCGACCCCATTATTGTAGTTTGGGCTCCAGACAGCAGAGCAGTATTCCAACGTAGATCGTACGAGAGAGCAATAGAGCGATTTCAAGCAGTAAATGTCCGTGAAGTTCTTAGTAATCTTGAAGACAAAGCCAAGCGTTCTGGACGCTTTGTCGACGACATACGATATATGGTGTGAGTATGTCAGCTTTGAGTCTAGAAAAACGCCTAAGTCTTTCACGCAGTGCATCCGTTCGATAGTCGTGCCTAGTAGTTTGTAGTTGAAAATAATCGGTTGTTTCCTGCGTGAGAAAGTAATAACTGTACACTTAGCTGGGTTGACCACCAGTCGGTTTAGACTACACCAGTCAGCAAAGATGTCAATCTGATTTTGGAGAGAACGGCAGTCGGCGAGTGAGCGGATGCGCAGAAAAACTTTCAGATCGTCTGCAAACGATAATCGTGGCTCTGTGATAACATGGTGAACGTCGTCGAAGTAGAGGAGAAATACCAATGGTCCCAGATGGCTGCCCTGAGGTATACCGGACTTTGCGCAGAAGCTAGCTGAGCGACAAGTACCCAAAGTTACTGTCAATTGGCGCTCCGTGAGGTATGAACGAAACCATCTCAAAAGATTTCCACCGATCCCTAGCCTATCAAGCTTAGCGATCGCAATTTCGTGGTTCAGCTTATCGAAGGCTGCCGTAAGATCTGTGTAGATAACGTCCGTTTGGGTCCGAGCAATCAAACTGTCTGTGATGTAACACGTTAGGCACAGCAGGTTCGTAGTTGTGGAACGCCCAGTTATGAATCCGTGTTGATCTGTACTTAGATATTGCCTGCAATGCGCATTTAGGGACTCTATGACAACCAATTCAAAAAGTTTTGATACAGCACTCAGCGACGTGATTCCCCGGTAGTTGTTTACGTCGCGTTTGCTTCCCTTTTTATGAACAGGAAACATATCCGCAGTCTTCCAGCAAGACGCAAAGATGCCGCTGGAAAGAGAGAGCTGGAATATGCGGCGCAGTGGATCTAAAAGACAAGTGATGTTCTTTTTAAGAATAATCGACGGAACACCATCGGGTCCAGCCTTAGTTGAAGTCTTAAGTTTAGATGCTGCTCTAGAAATCGTATCTGTAGTGGCTTCGACCATGCTGAGCGTTTGGTTGATCAAAGGAACATTACTGGCCGCGGAAGTAATGATATTAGCGGAGAGTTGCTCGGCTTCAAACACACTAGCAAATTTAGCTGAGAACAGGTTGCAAATGTTTTGTTGATTTCCAGCAGTTTCACCATTAAAAATCATGGAAGAGGGTAAGCCGACTTCCCTGCGTTGCTCATTTACGAAGTTCCAGAAGGATTTCGGGTGCATACTGAAGCATTAAGGTGATATGTGTCACTATAGGGAATCATCATCGTTGCAAATAGGGTAAATGTTGGCTTCGGCACCCATTGACTGTTTTCGGCAACCAAAATTTAAACGTTAATTTCACTATGTTTTCCCATCAACGCACTTCCCTGAATGTGTCCAAACGATTGTTTAGCCTTTCAGCTTCAATCTGATTATATTTGAACGTTCGAGCAATCCAGTAATGCTACATTTTTCTTCAAATAAAGCATACGCACTACAAAATGAGGTTGATTTCGAGTTGCCGATAATAGAACAGCTGGTTAACACGCAGTTCTAATGGGAAGGTTGCCGAAGAAAAAGAGACTGCCGACAATAGTCACACTCACCTGAGAAGTTTGGAGCGTTGTAAAAACGCTTTCAAAACGTTTTGAAAAATTCTGTCGATTGGAATGGATAGAGAAGCAAGCAGCAGATGAACAGACACATCATATATGTGCGTGACGCTGAGAAAATGCTAGTAGAAGTGCAGACGCTGCTTAGATTGACGAGAATACGTAAATTCCCCTATAAAGAAATTAAACATAACCCTTTGCTTCAGTACCGTCAACCTCCATGCCCATGGGGAGGGAATTTTGGGTAACTGTTACTTTGATTCTATAACATTCCCCAGAAAAGCATTCCACAGAATGTACCATTCCCCAGAAAAGATGATGAAATTAGTAATTTATCACTTTTTTGTCATTTGATATTATATATCAGTTTTATATTAGAGAACTTCCGATTACAAACTTATAACATAATTCCACACGTTACTATCGCAAATAGTCATTACCCCGAATCCGTTGCGAAAAGCTATTGATTATATATTTTCCTTATATACATATGAATAGAAAGGAATATTTCCTTCTTTATCGTATATCCAAATAATTAATTATTTCCTTTTGTTATATTTTCGAAGAAGGGAATATTCCCTTCTTTTTCATATATTTAACGAATTAATGATGTTCTCTTCTATATATTCAAATTCTTTATTGTGTATCCAAATAATTATTTCTTTCTTTTTGTTATATTTTCGAAGAAGGGAATATTTCCTTCTTTATCATAAATTTAAAGAATTATTCATGTACTCTTTTATATATTCAAAGAAGGGAATATTCCCTTCTTTATCGTATATCCAAAGAATTAATTATTTCCATTTCTTATATTGTCAAAGAAGGGAAAACCCATTGATCCATTAAGGTCTCCTAAAACCCCTTGACCCATTAAGGAAGTTTTTCTCTTCTTTTTATATACGCGAAAGAAGATTCCAGGAGTGACTATAATAAACAAAAATAGTCAATCTAATGCAATGTCATGGCATACTTTTCTGGGGAATGGTGCATTCTGGGAATGAGATTATGGGGAATGTTATAGAATCGTTACTTTTACTCATTTCTGTAGCAATAATTACTCACTTATACTTAGTTGTATGAGAAATTTCTAAAAACTGCAGTTACTCAGCGCTGAGTTCCCAGTTTTAAGAAATTTCTCCATACCTCTGAGTAGAAGTGATTCTCTGAGTTATTCTTATTGCCCATGTAGTAAATATTACAGTATTTTACGATCACCGTGTACTGCACAACACAAGGGTAGTTCCAATATTTCGAAAGTGCCTTACGAACGGCTTTTTGGACTCAACAGGACTCAACCAATCAAAATCATTTAAATAATTCAAATTGATATAACATAATCTAGGCATTTAAAATCGCGAAACAGTCTTGCCTTGCATTTGCTGAGTACCGAAGTTTGCTGCTCACCTTTCATTTATAAAGATCAATCCGGCGATTTTGAAAATATGTCTGCTGCCGACATATGAAGAAAAACATCACGATAATCTTTACCGGTTTTTTCTTCTCGGCATTTATACCACAATGTTTATATGCGAGATGGTAAAATTTAGTTCGATTGTTCTACACATTATTCATTAGCTTTGTATTATCATAGAATAGAATCACTCAACACTTTGTCAGCCATGTTGTTTTGATGGTTTTCCCGACGGTGATCAGCAAAGTTTAACAGAATTATCACACAGGAATCAGAATAATCACTGCACACAATACTTTGTCCGTCATGTTCATGCCAATCCAGTTTCTAAACACTGGTTTGATCTACAATTAAGTCTTTTAATGTTAAGAAAATCTTACAAAACTGCAAAAGTAAGTTTCTGCATTTTTCTTCTTTTTTTTCGACTCCATACGCTGCCACTAGTAGTGGGCGTTATGACATTGATTGAAACAAACATACGATGTTTTTTCTTGCGATGTATTGAACACGGAGATGAAAAACTACACAAAATTAAGTACTTTTCACTCAGAGCTTCTCCACCGCGGGGCGCTAATAGCAACAATCAATACGAAACTCGAGGGGGGCGACACATCTAAATCTCAAGTTTAGATGCTCAACAAATCTTACACTAGTGAAGCTATCCTCGAAAAATCTTCTTTCATTTGCAGCATCTACTTGCATCGCTCATCATCTTTTTGCAGGAAATCTTCAGAATCGTCATCAATCTTCTTTCTATCTACTCAGCGTGCGCGCAGCTAGCCACAGCAAAACACAATCTGTTTTGCATCTTAGATAGAGTCGTCCCCCTCGACGAAACTAACGATTTTAAATTGGCTCACTACACGGATAGAAATCTCCTTATACCTTTTGGCAAATTTCCATTGCTGATTATTCATAAAATGTATAAGTCAACTAATAAGCAGACGCCTTGCAAAAAGTTAATAAAGATCATGTGTCAAATGAAATGTATAAGCGGTCACACATACCTTTTATGCATTCTAATAGGACCTATGTGGTTTGTTTTATGGAATGTATAAGGCTGATGCTTTGGCAAAAATGTATAAGTGAAACACATGAATTTAATAATTGATTTTCGTTTTGTGTACCAGAGCTGGGCCAAAAAGTTGAGCACGTTATTTCGGGACCTTCTAGTCTTAGAGTTACCTCTATGCTAATAGCATGGACCCATGGGTCTATGCTAATAGCACAAACGAAGTGACAGACGACTATCTCGCGAAGAAATCCATTAAAATAATGTGGTTCACTGTAATAGAATTTTCTTGGAAGCTTGTGCCATCATCCACCAGATGGGTTAGTTTTTTTTGATTTGAACAAATTTGATTTTGTGTACAATGATTTTTTGACAGTGTGTATCATTTTGTCATTTTTTTTATGCATTTCAGTTTTGAGTAGAGTGAAAGAGATAGAACCAAAACATTCTAATACATTTGGTGAAAATGCTAGTACAATCCAGTAGTAGTGTTGCCATGTGGTACAATCCAGTAGTAGTGGTGTTGCCATGTGGTACACTGAAAAATTGAAATAGCAGGTTAGTCACCAAAGTTTTCGAGCCGCTCCGTCTGTCACTTCGTTTGTGGTTAGAGTACGGCAATGTGAAAATTGCATTTATTTATTTATTTATTTATTTACTTCATCAACCAACGTAGACTAGTACATATTAGAATACAGTTTTGTTTTCTTAAATTTATTTATTTATTTCGTCAGCTTTGGACAAAAGGTTAAAAGTATAATTTTTCCTTTAATAAAAATTAAGCAGTGTCAGCTTTCCTATTTTTTATGAGTTATAATGCCTTATGGAGTAAAAATATTGTTTTAGTTTATGCCGAGACATTGTAAAGTCAATGGTTTCGCAGTGTTTATTGTAAGAGGCCATCATGCGGTTTAATGGCCCATATTTTGCATAATTTGTGCGATGATGTTTTATGGCAAATACATTTCGATTTCGGAGTTGCCGAGTAGGTGCATGGAAATTTAATTTTGATAAAAGTTCTGTGGAGTCAATGCGCTGCGAAACGGTATCGTTTACAAATGAAACCATTGCATATTCACGACGCTCTTTTAATGTTTTTATGTTTATAAGCATGCAGCGTGCTTCATATGATGGAAGAGGAAATGATGTCCAACCTAATTTACGAAGAGCGTATAATAGAAATTGTTTTTGTACGGATTCTAATCTTTCTTCGTGCGTGATTGAAAAAGGAGACCATACAATGCTGCAATATTCCAGTATTGACCTCACATAGGCAATATATAGTGTTTTAATTGTGTATGGGTCCTGAAAGTTATAGCAAAAGTGCTTGCATGCTAGTAGATAGCGAGCTAGGACAACTTTTAAGGAAGGTGCAAATCGGTTTTTTCATCTCTCTTTACCAAACTCTCCCTTTGGAGAGGGATGGTGAGGGGTGTCCGCCCCCGTAACCACTGGCAAAAAGAGATGAACGCCGACCCGCTCAAGTACCAACGATGTGTTTGAAACAGTTCTACCGATTTTTACCGCACTTCAGTTGTTATTTGAAGAAAGGCATCCAGTCGTAGGTTTGGAAATTGCAGCTGTTGCTTACCCCTACCATGGTATGTGGACACCCCTCACCATCCCTCTCCAAAGGGGGAGTTTGGTAAAGAGAGATGAAAAAACCGATTTGTACCTTCCTTAAAAGTTGTCCTAGCTCACTATCTACTATCTATATGCAATTTTCACACTGCCGTACTATAACGGAACTATCATTTTTAGACTTTCATCTCCTCCATCTATCGTACACTACAAAAAAATCAATGTTTTTTTTTTATATATAAATTTCATGTGGGCTTTATAAACTACAAAATCGCTCAGATATGCTTTATAAACATATATAATAGGTATTACTAGCGTCCCATTTAAAAAATATGTGTGAGAACTAATGGTCAAAATCCATAACATCTCACACATAAATTTGATAACGATCGGAAACGAATCAAGAGAAGAAGCTTGAGGAACAAAACTATAAAATGGCAACTGAAAAGAGTTTTACGTTCGTCGTGCTTAACGAGTTGGAGCTTCCGGAGGATTTGTTTTCGATTTTTTAAGGTAATATTTATCCTAATGACATCAGTTTTTTGGTTTATTCTCATTATTCCGATTATTTTTAGGTCAAGGCTTTGATTTATTCTCTTTGGTCAATATTTCCAAAGACAAATTATCAGAAGCGCTATTGGAGACTCAGAGCTCATCTGGACAAAGCTGGAATATCGATGAAATATTCCGGCGGATAATTTGCTGGCGACAGAAGCAGGTAGATATTGCAATTTATACATTTTCAATATTTTGCTAACACAATCATTGCATCTTATAGGGTTACGATATCATTGGGTTTACAAAGATAGAAGTGCAAGAGTCTTGGCTTCAGTCACAAGAACTACATCCATCAGACGAGGAGGAGGAGGAGAAGGGGGAAGAGGAAGAAGAAGAGGAGAAGCTGGACCAGTTGGATGCGCAAGATCGACAGGCGGAAGAACTTCCGGATAGACTCGATGAGCTGCAGCCTATTGCCTCTTTCACTAAGAATTACTCTGGGGATATCGCTACGACCGGTTCTTCGAATAATGGTGTCGGTTTGAATGATAAACGAAAATTTTCTGCGTCAACTGGTAATTTTTTCATCGAACTTTCTTCTGACAACGCCGCTGTAATTGTTTTAATTCCAGCTGCGCCTAACACGTCTTCCGGAAGAGTGGAAATAGTCACTCAAAAGAACGCTGAGGATTGCCCATCATGTTTGAAACATTTTTCTCCTACGACGCTTTCACGTTTACTCGAATCCACTGTCACTGGAAAACACCTTCTTGAACGGGGAGCTCGGGGTCCTTTGTCCAAGGACAGCCAGAAAGAACTCGTAGCGATAATTGCAGACTATCACTGTCAAAGAGGAGCCGAAACAACCGAGTGTATCCTCGGAGAATACGTTCACTCAATCACAGCATTGTTCAAAGGCGAAAGCAAGGTAATTTTTTATAAATTTTGTTTAAAATTTAAAATATGACACCGTGTTTTTTTTAAGGATACATACTTTATTGCTCAAGGAGGATCGAAGAAAAATCCTGGTGGGAAGTTATATAATCGTATTGTCAACTGGAAGCAGAAAACGGCAAAGCGGAAGTGGAAGGAAGAAAAACATCTAAGCAAAAGTAAGAAGAAAGAAAATTCGCCAAGCATCGAGGACAAGGTGGCTGTCGATGCAGCTGTGTGGCTTCAACAAAATACTAAACCGTGGTCAACTACACTCGATAAATGGACCTTTTCGTTTCCGTTGAGAAAATCTTTTCTCATGAAATCCGATAACAAGGCAAGACTCTTCAAAGAATACCAGCATTACAGTGATGAATTCGGATACCAACTAGTAAGTAATTCTCAACTAATTTCAACTTAATTCGTAGAATTGTGAAAAGCTCAAAGTCGTTTTAATAATTCAAAAATCAGTGTAATGGTTTTAATGTTGATGCATACAGGAAATTGCGATACTTTCCAGATTATTTTCATCACCGATAATTTGCAGAATACTTTCTAGTTTGCTCTCGGCTGTTGCAATATATGCACCAACCGGTGAACACTCGTGTTTATTTCAGTTACCGTGTGGACGTAATTTGTGATGAGCCCCGGTCCCTTTCAAATTGTATCATTATTTATGTACGGTCCATATATTTGAAATGACGTTGCACATTCATCTAGTGATGGCCGATTTTCATTCGAATTATCGATTAATCGATTAACGAACCGAAAAGTAAAATATTTGTAATCGGTTATATCATGCCGATATAAGCATTAACTTCTCCAGAGGATCATCACCGATCGTTTCAAACATGTGCTGCACTCTCATTGGTGGAAAAATGGCAGCACAGTGAACAAAAAAAAATTGATTAGTTGTTAATCGAGTAATTAAAAAATGGGACATCTCTGATTTTGGTGTGTTTGTTTTGATAAAAATGAGCGCAAAATTTCATCTCTACCGAGGGGGCAGCAAAACCACAAAATTACCTTGAATACGAGGGGTATTCAATGGAATGGATGAAAGGGACCGTGATAGAGGACACTAATGGTGGTAAGCTCCAACCGGTATTATCCTCGGATTAAATCTCGATCAAGAATGTCCGGCTGGTTTGATGTCGACATCAGAGTTAATCAACATAACTCTGAGCAAACATTTTTCAGATCATACAAACAGGGACGGTATTAAAAGTTAATCCGAGTTGGAGCTTACCGCCATAAAATAGATAGTTTTTCTTCCGACAGTTTCATCAACCGGTGAACACTCGTGTTTGTTTCAGTTACCGTGGGGACGTAATTTGTGATTAGCCCCGGTCCCTTTCAAATTGTATCATTATTTATGACGGTCCTTATATTTGAAATGACGTTTCACATTCATCTAGGGATGGCCGACTTTCATTCGAATAATCGATTAATCGATTAACGAACCGAAAAGTAAAATATTTGTAATCGGTTATATCATGCCGATATAAGCATTCACATCTCCAGAGGGTCATCACCGATCGTTTCATACATGTGCTGCACCTTAGAGAAATAATTATAATAGAGAGCTCATTTCGAAGGAAACTTTGCATCACTGAAACAGCGCCTCTTTCGATTATGACAGCCAACGGGTGAACTAATTCACAGCAAGCGTGCGCATTTTACATGTACGATGCTGTCAACTCAAACAAGTAATTATTTATTGATACATTTGAAAACACTCCGGCTAAAATGGTCTACAAAAGGTGTGAAGTACGCGAATGTAAAAGTGTTTCAACGGGACCATGCTCGAAATCTTTTTTCAAAATATTATTGAAAAACAGGTACAGTTTGTTTTCGTTTACAAAATGAATGCGTTTCGAAGATTTTGTTTCTTACAGCAGCACGAGAGATTTGGATGCATGGAAATCATTTTGTGGCGTAAAACAGTTTTCTTCCGAAAGCTACATATGTTCTGATCATTTCTGTGATGAGGATTTTGCAAATGTTCTTAATAAGAGCCAAGGGTATTAAGTTGGAAACGCTATGAAATTATTAAAACAAAAAAATACATGTCATAAAAATACTCTCTTATAGACTCCGAACAACAGCATTTCCTTCATATGGACTATCGAGTGCAGCGTTGAACACTGCTTCATTTTGTGAGGATTTCGACAAATTGTTTGACATTTCAAATTCATTAAATTTCAACGATAAAAAGGTAAGTTAAACTAAAATACTTATACATAACCGCAGTATTAAACTATTCATATCAAGGTACATAAACGACCCATCAAATCGACTTCTCCACACTGGGTATTTTTGGATAATATGCAGAAGAAGCTCCGATCCCTTTACTTTGTTGATAAATGCTGCACCGATGCCAAACAGGTAAATAAAAAGACTTGAGTGATTGAGCAATAAATATAGTACATAATGATTATGTTATCTTTCAGGAGTCTCAATGCAAACCTCTTATGAAAAACTCGAAGCATCCTTATTTCGTTCAAGGATGGATTTTATACATAGCTGCATTGAAAGAGCTGTGGAAAGAATTGAACGCAAAGCATGGATTTTGGTTCTTGCGTACCCGAAATTTGTCTCAAGATTGCCTTGAGCATTTTTTTTCCGTGATCCGCTGGAGGAATGGAAACAACACGCACCCTGATACCTCTGAATTTTCATCTGCGTATAAGGCAGTTGTTATAAACCAATTACTTGTTCCCAAAAAAATTGGTAACGTTCAAGCAGATATAAGTAAATATCTAGTGTCCAGCGACGACATACGTAAACTCAAAATTGTTAACAGACAGTCATCACGCTTCAAGATTGAAAGGCAGGAGGAAACTTGTGAAGACGAAATCGATGAAAATCAGATATCGAGTGTACATTGGACTACCGGATGGGCTTGCAGCAAAATAAAACACGAAGCGTGTCTCAAAAGGGTGACCTCCGGTAGCGAAAATGTGCCCCAGAAGCATGCGTCCCTCTCAACGTTTAAGCGTTACAACGAACACGTTCGAATTAACACACCAGGTGAAAACATATTTAGGTATTTTCAAGGTGTTTGTAAAATTTTCGAGCGTTATTTCAAAATGCTGCTTACACTGGACACTGTAGGCGTCAAGGAAGAGCTGATGGATATCATCCAAGTGTCACACAAGTTTCCGAATATCCAAGTTTCAGCTGAATCATCTAACTGCATTTCTGAAGATGAATCCCTCGAAGACGAATGTCTTATAATGGATGTTATTTGCATTCCATGTGCTTTGAGAATCACGGATAAATACTTAAATATGCTGATTTTCTGCAAGCTGGCTCAAATGAATAGTGAATTCCATCACTTAAGCGACGAGAAGAAAAAATGCAGAAAAACTGATAAAGCTAAGAAACTTAACATCTCTAGACTCTCAGACCTGATGAATGAACCCTCATCGTCAATTAAAATAGAGCCTAAAAAGAAAACCGTAAGTTTTTTATCGTCGTTCTTAATTGAATACTAAACATTGTGATTCAATTTCAGCGCACAGTGACGAAAAATTCAAAAATCCGCTCGTAGCTGGTTCAACACCGAAGGAATCAAAGTACCGGGATATAATTTGATAATATTTATTTTTTTTAAATGCAAAAAATGCATTCAAATACACTTTTTTTTCCGTACAAGCAGAGATCTTTTTGTATCAATAATTACCACATAAATCTCGATGAACATTTTAAGTGGTCCTATCTCCTTTGATCGATTCTCTTCATCGACTTTCTATAACCTTTGCTCTGTAAACAGATTTTACGCTAATGTTACCACATAATTTGACAAAGAAGGTTCTTACTAACGTCAAATACAACAGAGAAAAGTTTTGTAGCTGAGTTATCTCGGAGTTATTAACGAAAGAGGAAATCGATGAAGAGAATCCATCAATGCAGATAGCACCCTTTGAAATGTTTATCTAGAATTAATCAAAAATGAGGAAAGCATAAAAAATTAAGGTTGTTTTTATTATTTTGGTAAAGACTTTTTTGACGTTTAATCGTCTTTCTCTATTTAGCACACAAGGATGAACGGTTGGTTTGTTTTCCCACTAATCTGTTTCTCTCTTGCTCACACTCCTTCAGTTTAAATGATGCAGTAGCGTGCGCAAAAAGCTTTATGGACGTGATAGCTAGATTGATTTTAGAATAGGTCCTATCTCCATTTTCGATCAAAGAATCGATTAAATTTATTCCGCGATGGATTTGCAATATTGACTCACGCAATCAAAAGCTCAAACCTTGAACTGTTGATTGCATGTATCAGTATTGCAAATCTATCGCCTAGATCGCGGTAGAAAGTGAATAAAATTAATAGATTATTGAACAACAAATGAAGATAGGACCTATTCTAAAATCAATCGAGTTTAACTTCCATCAGCTGATCAAGTTGTCATATCGGTTTTCATTGTCAAAGAAAATGCGCCGGTAATTAATATGCACGCGCACGGTACGATCACAAAATGCACAGGGCAGGAACAAAAAGCTTCACCCGTTTATCAATAGATAGCGCTCATGATAGTGTTGAAATTATTTTGTTCGGGAAATGATTAAGTGAGCTCTCTATTATAATTATTTCTCTAAGGCTGCACTCTCATTGGTGGAAAAATGGCAGCACAGCGAACAAAAAAAATCGATTAGTTGTTAATCGAGTAATTAAAAAATGGGACACCTCTGATTTTGGTGTGTTTGTTTTGATAAAAATGAGCGCAAAATTTCATCTCTACCGAGGGGGCAGCAAAACCACAAAATTACCTTGAATACGAGGGGTATTCAATGGAATGGATGAAAGGGACCGTGAAAGAGGACACTAAAATAGATAGTTTTTCTTCCGACAGTTTCATCAACAATCAATACGAAACTAACGATTTTAAATTGGCTCACCACTTTAGTAGCCTATTGGTCCCAAGCAAACGATTAACGTACCCTCCCTAATAAAAATGTTATGGTTAATTTGCTTAACGACGTGTTCGGGGTATCATACAAACCATCTGTGGAATAGTTCAATAATTTGGGTTATCGTTCGATTATGGTAATTTTTTATTAGGGCTATTCTAGTTGAAATTCTATTACTACACTATGTTTGTTTTGATTCGCTATGAAAGTTTGACAGATAACATCAGGGGTGTGTGGATTCATGCAGAACATGCAGGGGTGAGTGAAATAGCTTGGGACTGCTTGGGACCGTTGTTCTGGTACTGAGTGAGCCAAAAATAATAATGATTTTCTTCGGGACCTACTAGTCTTAGAGTTACCTCTATGGCTGTATTCTCTCTGGAGATTCTGCGGTTATCTAGCGATTGCCATCCGCAGCACAGTTCGACAGAAGATAGTGTTAGCCGTGTTAGCTTGCGCCTGAAACAACACACTGAATGGGATATTCTTTTGCAGTCGGTTTATTCACGAAAGAGAAATTCGATTAAGAGAATCGATCAACAATGAAATGCCCTTTTCTCGTGTTGCGCGAGCTATCTGCTTTGAGCAAACGACAGACTTTTCATGCTCCGTTGCGACTTGCGCATAGAGTGGCTCCAGGTG